CCCCCCCCCCCCCAAAAAAAAAAAAAATTTTTTTTTAAAATTATATTGGTTAGGTAGATTAAAACAGCAGTAAAAGAATATTTATTGGCACCAATTATTCTCTCAAAACCTGTTGAATAAGCTTGTTTTGCCTTAATTTGTTCTGGATTTACTTGCTGGTTGTGAATGTATGGATTAAACTGGTAGAAGTGTAATTGTGTTCATGGTCCAACCTTATTCCTAAATAAAAGGTGCTTCATGCTTGCAGAGTGTGGAGTATTATTGATCATCAAATTCCCTTATTAATGAGGGAGCCATTACTTGAAGTAAATTTTGAATGCTTCTAATAATTTAATTGCTTTCATAGATTAAAATGCATATAAAACAATTTGAGGGCTATTATGTTAACAGATTAAGGTACTTCATGAAACATGGCATGTGCCAAAGCAATAACTTGATGGAAATCAGAGTCTTTATCCCCCTGAAATTAGATAAACCAGAGATCAGTGTAGTTGATTGCGGATGTTGAATAATGTAACATGTCTAAAATCCTAAATTAGATATTCCTATCAAGAGATTTTCTATATCGAAGTAATCTCTTTGCATCACGTTATTTTTGGTTTTCATGTTATTGCCTAATAAGATTTAGTTTTTACATAAATAAAATTGACATGTTATGAAATTATGAGAAAATAAACTTTTTGAGAGAGGAAAAAATAAATTGCAGTCATAATGTTTCTCTCTTGGAATGCAGCACCTTCCTTATGTTCCCACGATAACCAACTACACTCAGGTTTGGTGGGTACCTAATGTTGTAGTGGCTCATCAAAAGGAGGGCATAGAAGCTCTTCATCTGGCATCTGGTCGAACAATATGCAAGGTAAACATAAAACATTTAGCTAACTTGAACTTATTGCTGTACCATGCATATCTCTTAAACATAATCTGTTGAGGTCATTGAAGGCTGCAAGTAGTTGCAAAGCTGCATCTTCTGATAGTATTTTCTGCTTATGGATCATGCCGATTTCTTTTCTTAGTCTTAAAAATATTTTATCCCGTTGTTTTACTATTCAGCCAACATTTTATTTAGCTCCATCATATAATATTTTCATAAACGTTTTCATGTCTTATGTAATGACAAATTTGTTTATTTTCAGCTTCATCTCCAGGAAGGTGGTCTACATGCTGATATTAATGGTGATGGAGTTCTAGATCACGTGCAGGTTCATTTTTTACCCTTATTAAAAAATTTGAGCTAGATCTTATTTTTTGGCATGATAGCAAATGGAGGATGTTCTGCCTGATGTATGGAATATTCATCCTACTAGGCTGTTGGAGGAAATGGTGCTGAACAGACTGTAGTTAGTGGGTCAATGGAAGTGCTACGTCCTTGTTGGGCTGTTGCAACGTCTGGTGTACCAATACGGGAACAACTCTTCAATGTATCTATTTGTCATTATACCCATTTTAACTTATTCCAACATGGAGAACTTTATAGAAGCTACAATCAAGGTTCAGATATTGCTTCTTTAGAGGTAGCAACCCCTATTCTAATTCCTAGGAGTGATGGTCATAGGCATCGGAAGGGAAGCCATGGTGATGTTATCTTCTTGACGAACCGGGGGGAGGTATGCTATGTTTTACTTCTTGAGGTTAAAAACTTCTGTTCAATAGTTTGTTTAGCACCAATACTATTTCTTCAATTTTGTTTATCGAAGTGTTTCTATTCACAATTTATAATGGTGTCTTTTTGAGATATTGATGGGGATTACTTCTCTGAAAGAAACATTTACGAATGTTGTGAAATATGGAACTTTCGGATTAAATCGATAGGAGCCTTTTGTAGTTCTTGAATAGTTTTAAATGTATAAGTAATTTTATCAATGCTGATATTAGTGACATGAAAAAGTTGTTTCTTGCAGATTACATCGTACTCCCCTGGCTTGCATGGTCATGATGCTGTTTGGCAGTGGCAACAATCAACTGGTGTTACATGGTCCAATCTGCCTTCCCCGTCAGGAATGATGGAAGGTGGTCAGGTGATTCCCACACTAAAGCCTCTTTCCTTGCGGTTGCATGATAATCAGGAAATGATCCTTGCAGCCGGCGAACAAGAAGCCGTGGTAATATCACCTGGAGGTAGTTTATTGGCCACAATTGAGCTTCCTGCTCCACCAACACATGTCTTGATCTGTGAGGACTTTTCAAATGATGGGCTCACTGACCTTATTATTGTCACCTCTAATGGAGTGTACGGCTTTGTTCAGACCAGGCAACCAGGTGCTCTCTTCTTCAGCATGCTGGTTGGTTGTCTCATAGTCGTGATGGGGGTTATATTTGTCACCCAGCACTTGAATTCCACCAAGGGGAAGCCTCGTCCCTCATCTGGTCCTCGGTGAAAAGCTGGACCTGAAATTTATACTAACTTTGAAGAAACAGAAAACAGTCAGGTGTGCGCAACCATTGGAGAATCACGAGTATTCAAAATGCGTAGAATTTATGGAATTTGGAGGAGGTGCCGAACAGTCTTGGACTGTTGATTGTAAAATTTGGACAGAGTGTAGGAAATTTGATGTTATAATATTATGAGGAAACTTATACTGTCTCCACTTCCGGGATTTTTGACTGCCGTTTTGAGGAAGCTACACTGTTACTGTACACACTTGTCACCTGTTCAGAATTAGTTGATGCACAAGAGATGCCTTTTTTCCCAAGGATTTTCTTGCTTTAACGAATTCACTGTCCTATCCAGCTCAAAATTCTCTATTTTTGAGCCAAAGTTCTTTATATAATAAGATGCTATTCAGTTCTAGAAATGAGTAAAAGATGGTTTGTTAAGAAAATTTGTAGAAGTGATATTTTTCTTCAATTTAATCAAAGTCTATTTTTCTTTTTCTTTTTAATTCTTTTCAATGTGGTCTTTCAAGTGTTTTAATCCATATCAACTTAATTTTATAAGGGATTGACTTATTTGGATAATTTTTTTCCGTTAACACTCAAATGAAAGGAGAAAATAAAATAAAATGTATTCAATGAAGATAAGATGAAGTCAACTAAGATTTTAAAATAAATTAATGATAAGTTTCTTTTAAGTTAATTTTAGTTGATGTTTATAGGGAAATTTTGTTAGACAAGGTTTCTACAAGGCCTAAATAGAGAAAATTTCTTTCGTGGAACGAAATAGCAATTTCCACTTCCACGTGGATGTATTGTAACAGGACGTTGATCATTCGTAAAAGAAGAAATTGACAAAATTCGTATAAAATTTTGCATCAATAATAAACCAAGAACGTATCATGATTTTATACTATGGATCAACCAGCTGCTAATAATGTTTTTATCCAAAACGGTAGTGATGTTTGACGCACATCCCTTAAAAAAAGAATGGTAGTGACTAGTGATAGCTTTTGTTTTGTGACGAGTGAACGAACATGCTTTACCTTGTGAAAAGGAGTAAAAGGATTAGAAAGAGAAATGAGTTTCTTGTATACAACTCATTCATACTTTATTACTGTTGCTTTCGGGGAAAGGAGGCCATAGACGTGCGTAGCTATTTTCATGGTATGTTTGGATCACTTTGGGAAATTAATAATTTATTGGAAAGGACCCTCATCCCCAAATTTCTTTAAAAGTTTTATTGAAAATATTACTTTTTTTTCTTTCAAAAATTTAATTAGGTCGACAAATAATTGAATTTCTTCAACATACAATAATAAAAAAATAAAAACTATTTTAATAATCTTTATTTTAGAAATGCTCCATGTCTAACGCGATTCCTAACCCACCCCATTTAACCTAAACAACAATGTATTATTTATTAAAAGGTTTAGATAGCAGAATTCTTTTTTATGGGAATGGATTCTCTAATTTGAAATGAAATGATCTATTTTTCTTTTTCTTTTTTTAGGAAGAGGCAAAACACTCCAACCACAAACTGAATTAAAACCTACAAAAGAAATCAGTCATACAAGCATCAATTCTAATGACAAATGAAATAAAAGACGGTGACATGGTAAACATAAAGAGATACATGAAAATTTATCTCCTCTTTATCACTTGGTTCAACATTATAGCATAAACAGAGATATATGAAAAGTCATTTCTCTTTAACTAATAGGTCGGTCACCTAATTGACAAACCAAGAGACTAACCTATTAACTAAGAAGAAGATGATTTTTATGTAAGCAAATTAGGTGGCCGACTTATTAACTAAAACAAAATGAATTCGTATGTATCTCTTTGTATTTTTATATATATATATATATATATTTGATTTTAAAAATGATTATAAGTATTGAGATATAATATATGCTGAGAGTATAACAAAAACTTAAAATACTTACTTAATAAAGCCTGTATTATCTTCCTATTTGTTCCTTCTACAAGTTTTCTTAATTATTAAATAGACTAAAAATTAAGTGTTTCTTTCTTGATATTTTTAAGATATTAAGTGTATTTAATTTTTATTTTATATTTTCGTCGTATTTATTCCTTTCACTTTGCGTTTATTTATCATTCCCATTATATTTACGGTATACTAGGACATTGTTTACTGACAAATTTGCAGGGGAAAGGACTGACGACTACTGAGCCAAACTTCAGTAGATTGATCAGGAAAAATTAATGTAGAGAGCTTCACAGTTCGTTTAGTAATTTAGTAATTTAGTATCATGTTATAATTCATAGCTTGTGTTTTTCTTATTCACATTTTAGAGACCCATTACGGATACAGCATAGGATTGTGTTGCTTTTATTCTAATACTTCTTTTTTTTTTAGTGGATACGTTATGGACATTTCATCGAATTTATATATAGACTTAATTATTTATATATTATTACTGTAAAATTTTTTTATATTAATAATTAATCATATCTTTTATTAATATCATATCATTTACTTATTTAATAAACTAAAAATAAAATAAATAATTTAAAAAAATATAATTAATTATTAGTGTAAAAAACTTTGTACTAGTAATATATAAATGATTAATTCTTATATATATATATATATTGGACACGCTTTTATTATAAATATCTACAAAATTGATTTCTCTTTGATTTCAGCAAAAAAATGTATTTTAGTTTCGGCGCATAATTTAACTAATATACAAATTTGAAATGTTTTTCTTTTAAAAAATAAATTTCAATAATTTTTTTTTATTTTTTTAAAAATAAATCTTGATAAAAACAAAAATAAAGAAAAAATAATTTGAGAGTTTTTATATATGAAAAAGATAAATCTCGATAAAAATAAAAATAAAGAAAGAAGAATTTGAGTTTTCTTTTTAAAAGAAAACTAATATTAATAAAAATAAAAGTAATGAAGAAAATGGTTTGTCTTTCCTTACTTAACATAGAAAATAATTTTTTTTAATGAAATATAAACAAGAAAGGAAGAATTCAAGATTTTAGAAAAATAAAAAGAAAATTTTTTATTGTAAATTATGATATTTCTTAATAAATTTTTTTTGAG